TGAGGCATGAGATTACCTAAAGTAATCAAAAATATGTTTTATGGAATGATTAAGAATAATCAAGTATTTGCTTATATCATGATTATACATAAAACATAGTTGAAAAGCATGTTATGTAGGTTTGGTGATCAAAAATGTGATAACTTATTATGTGTGATGTTCCAGGGATCCAAAATGGTATTTTTGGATCAAGGATGTCAAGAAGTATATGTGTATAAAATTTCACGTTAATCGGATTCCATTTGGGTGGTCAAACGGGCGTTGACCGCCAGGTCAACTTCCATACCCGACCGGGTATTGACACATACCCGACCGGGTATTTGTTGAAAAATTGCCCAGGAGGCTACTGTCTCCTATACCCGATCAAGTATGGGTAGATACTCGATCGAGTATACATTGAAAATCAGCTTTGTGGGCTACTGCCTCCTGTACTCGACCGAGTATGGGTAGATACTCGATCGAGTATTGGATTATGCTCAAAACGGGCAGTTTTGAGTAGGTTAACGTGGGCCGTTCAGGTGGGACCCGCCCACGTTGGATCCTAAGGATTGTTATATGACTATAGGACTAGGCATTGTCCATAGTTAAAGGAATGAAAGGTTAGCCATATCCAGGTTAGGATTTGGTAGAGAATAGACTGGGGATTGAGTGCCCTTGGACGGTAAATGATCCAGAATACTCCAGGTGGGGTCGGGTACCCTTGGACGGTAAATGATCCAGAATACTCCAGGTGGGGTCGAGTACCCTTGGACGGTAAATGATCCAGAATACTCCAGGTGGGGTCGAGTACCCTTGGACGGTAAATGATCCAGAATACTCCAGGTGGGGTCAGGTACCCTTGGACGGTAAATGATCCAGAATACTCCAGGTGGGGCCGAGTACCCTTGGACGGTAAATGATCCTAAATACTCCAGATTGGGTTGAGTGCCTTGGACGGTAAATGATCCTAAAACACTCGGTAGTATGAATCGAAGGTAGACTATAGCTTGTGAGCTAGGCAACCGGGAAAGGAGTGAGAAAAGTCAGGTAAGAACTTTATCTCTAAAAGACTCTTTAAATGAAATGACCTACGGGTTGAGTATTTTACAAATATATATACAGTATGTATCATCGGGTGGATGAGTCACACACACACACACACACACACACACACACACATACATATATATATATATATATATATATATATATATATATATATATATATATATGTATCACCCTATTTTTTGGGTCTCGTGTCTGAAACATTAGTTATTCTTCATATAGCCTGCTTGTCACTAGTACTTCTATGGAGTACTGACCCCTCCGGGGGGGCTCACATTTTTCAGGTTGAGGCTAGAGTCCTACTACCTGCACCTTTGCCTAGGGTGATCATTCGAGGAGGAAGACGTGGTTCGTGCTTCCATTCGTATTTGAAATTTATAAACTGCTCATGGATTTTTGAACAATGTTTTCATTAAAAACAGTTGGGGGGGGGGGGGGGGGGGGGCTGCGTGCCCGTGTTTGCCACGTGTGGCTAAGTATCAAACATATTACTATTTCCGCATTTGTTTGATTATGATATTGATGTTGATTATATGTGTTTACTAATCGGTTTGGCAAAAGAATCAATCGGACGCCTTGTGCAATTCAATAGGGATGAACTGTTGTTCTTATCGGGTTGCACGGCGGTTGTCTACGTGGCTCAGATGCGGTCCGGGGCGTGACAGAATACCTCACAAAATTTGGATCAATTACATCAATGTGAGGTCTTGCATTATCCCGCTGAATGATTATACTCATGTTATGTGCATCCAATCTTTTCTGATTTGTTGCTAGTAGTAGTTGATTTAGTGTAATGCTCTGCAATACTGCTATTTTAACATTCTGAGTTGTCTTAGTCTCTAAATTTCCTGCTCGTCAAATTTTACTTGTTCTCTTGATCGGTCTTGATAAGTGAATGAAAAGATTTCAACCTTTCCATCTCATAAAGACTCCCCATTGTCCCGCACTATAGATCTACCCACAACTGCTAACAACATAAACTTTTATATGACTTTTTTGACTGGTTTGTCTTGTAGGAGTCCTCATATGTGGGCAGTGTGTAGAATGTGATAGTTTATTTTCTTTTAAATCAATTCTCATCTATGTTTATGTGATAAAAAAAGTTAAGAACTATTGGGGTAGTGAAGGATAGTGAAGAAGGATTTATGTTTTCTAAAGAAAAAATCTAGCCTCTTTACCTTTCATGCATCATTTAAAAGGGACTAATTACATTTGAGTGTCTTTTTATATGCTTCCCTTAAATCACCTTTAAATATGGTGGTAAAGAATTTTTGTAATTTTTTGCAAGTCCAATGCTTTTGATTTTCTCTCCACATGTCCCTTCTGATGGCTAAGAACATATATTGGTAGGCAAATCTCCAATTTTTATTTTGTTGTGCACCACATTTTCTGGACAGTCTTTGTTGGTACATTGAGCTCCATGACCCATATCCCCCCCACCGTTGAGGTTTCTGTTGGTGCCGAAAAAAGTGAGATTTGGTACCTTGACTCGGGAGTGACATTTTCAGACCCGAACTTCAACTTTTAGGCGAATATTCTGCATTAAAGATATTTATTTTTTACTACACAAGTGGAGGTAGATGAAAGAAGTAAATGTTGAAAAAGAATATCAAATTTATGTCTTTACAGAAAATAGTTTTTGCCACTTTTAGTCCTCCGACTATTATGTATTTGACACTTTAGGTACTCAATTTTGATTTTTTCCACTTTTAGTCCTTGACTATTGTGCTAGAAACACTGTTGGTACATGTCTTTGAAAATTTTCATAGCTAGTCTTCTGACTTAGCGACAATTTTGGTCCTTCAACTATTATAATAGTGACATTTTTAGTTCTTACTCCCTCCGTCCCATAAAATTCTTCTCACTTTTCTTTTTGGGCCATCCTAAAAAATTCTTCCCACTTACCATTTTTGGACAATTTGTGTGGTTCACATTCATTTCACCTTTTTCTTACATAATCATAACCATACATTTCCAATTTATTCCACTTTCTTAATCTCCGTGCCAAGTCAAAGTGGGAAGAATTTTATGAGATGGAGGTAGTAATTTTTGTGTCAAAATCGAAGTGCAAGGACTAAAAGTGTCAATTTGATATTACTATTAGGACTAAACGTGGAAAACTTCAAAGTCTAGTACCGAAGGTGTATCTAGTACCAAAAGTTTTAATGAGACGATCCTCAGGTGACCAAAATAGCAAAACTCTTACTCCCTCCGTCCCTTAAAACTTTGTCATCTTTCCTTTTTGGGACGTTCCAAATTTTTTGGCACTTTCCCTTTTTAATCAATTATTTTGTGGTTTCTCTTATTTCTCTCTCCTCTGCACAAACCTCAACCACACAATTTTTACTTGAGAATTTTACCCAAATAAGACCAAAACTTATGGAAATTGCAAGAATAGGACACCCAGGTTTCCGCTCACGCGCATAGGACTAATTATGCGTTGAAATGCCAAAAATGACCTTCCAAACCGCTACACGTACTCTGAGCTCATTGACGGTTACACAACTCCCATTACGGCACGTCCCGGTTTCCAAGTTGCCACTATTATTACTGCGGAAAAAAAGATTCCAAAAATTAAATGAAGTTGTATTGGAAGCCTTACCGTTGAGAGATTGCCAGTCAGTCGACGTAACTTCCTTGAGGAGAGTCACTCCATTGAGGAGAGTCGCTTGGTTGAGGATAGTTGAAGGATGAAGTCATTGACGACAAAACGATGGATTTATCAAATACAGTTTCCGTTAGAATCAATTCCAAAATGGTATGTACTCATTTCTTATCATAATGCCTGCAATTGAATGTCGTTTGGCAGTTAATAAGGTTCGAAACAAATTTGATGAATTTAAATACGTTTTAATTTAGCCGCGGAAAAACTCGTATGATGAATACTATTGCATTCGCAATAGAGTAAATGACATTTTTAGTAACATCAGATTACATGATAATGTTGTTATATAGTAGCATTGGAAGCATATTTGAAAATTGTGATGACATTTTGCTTTAGGTTGAAAACAAAATGACATCACATATAATGAGAAAATTGAGAAATTGGTGCACTAATGACTGTTTAATAAATTTTACTTGCTCATATGGTGGCATTTTGTATGAAAGTGACATTCCATGAGTATGTGGTTATATACCGGCAATGTAACCTTATATGAATGTTATCATGACATTGTGCATTAAATAATGACATTGTATGAATATGTGTGAGCTTCAAAGCAAAATGACATCACATATAATGAGAAACTGATGCACTAATGACAGTTTAATAAATTTTACTTGCTCATATAGTGGCATTTTATATGAAAGTGACATTCCATGAGTATGTGGTTATGTACTTGCAATGTAACCTTATATGAATGTTATCATGACATTATGCATTGAATAATGACATTGTATGATAATGTGTTAGATTGAAAATAAAATGACATCACATATAATGAGAAATTGAGAAACTGATGCACTAATGACAGTTTAATAAATTTTACTTGCTCATATAGTGGCATTTTGTATGAAAGTGACATTCCATGCGTATGTGGTTATGTACTGGCAATGTAACCTTATATGAATGTTATCATGACATTATGCATTAAATAATGACATTGTATGAATATGTGTGAGCTTCAAAGCAAAATGACATCACATATAATGAGAAATTGAGAAACTGATGCACTAATGACAGTTTAATAAATTTTACTTGCTCATATGGTGGCATTTTGTATGAAGTGTCACTATTGTTAGTCATTTACATGGTGATTAAAGTGCATATATATGTGTGAACTTGACAGACAATAACAAGAGCTTTTAAGAAGTCAGTGTTAGTGAAGTTGGAAGACTTGCGTGTCAACTCCTACTGCAATGTTGCTGAGGTTCTTAAGAAAAATAAAGACATATCTAAGCACAGAGGAACTGTCAGAGTTCAAGAATACTGTATTTGGTTGGATGTTAAGAATATAATACATTCCTTGGCTGAGTTGACAATTGATTTTGGGATTGATTGGAAACTTTGTGACTGAAGTTAATGGAAAGACATATGACAGTGTCATCAGGTTTAACATTAAAGACAGTGTGATCAGCTTTCAGAAGCATGATCTTGCAGTAATGTGTGCTTTAAAGTTTGGAGCTGTGAAACCAAATACTTCTGAAGAGCTTGAGGGAGATATATGGACAAATTATTTAGGAGCCAAGACAACTGTGACTCGTGCAGATATTCAGAATGCATTGAAGAATTACAAGAGCACTGATGATAGCAGACTGACAAATGATGGAGTCAAACTTGCACTACTATAAATACTTTCACACTGCTTATTTGGGAATCAATCTGCTAGACCCATGAAGGCATACTACATAAATTTAGTTGATGACTTGGATGCATTCAATGCTTATCCATGGGGTGATGACGTTTGGGTGGACTTAGTTAACAAGGTGAAACAGAGCTGTGAGGCACTAAATAAAGGAAAAGCAGACAGAGTAACATTCCCTAGCTTCATAATGGCATTCCAGTGGTGGGCATTTGAAACTTTTCCTGGTTTAGCAAAGGCTGGCTTGTGCAAAGTCATCAAGGGGACAAGACACATCATACCAAGGACTCTAAAGTGGGAGTTTAAAAAAAACCTACACTGGAGGTCCTTTCTGAAATTATATTCAAGAATGACAAAGTATGTTATTGATTAATATGTAAATTTTTAAATGTTTATGTGCACACATTGTTTACTAACATGGTTTTTTGTTTTAGTTTGAATGGGCACAAATAGTACCAACTGCAGATGAGATTGCTATGATAGAAGAGGGAAATGACATAAATGAGGAGGTGATGCACCTTGTGATAAACAATGTTGGCAGGATTGATGCTCAAAAGCAATATACTATTGTAGCAAAAGGGAAACAAAAGGTGATGCAGACCAGAGTAGCCAAAAGAAAAACAACAAAAGCAATCAAATCTCAGGAAGGGCCTTCTAGAAGAAGAAGAAACAAGACTACAGTAGAAAAAGAGAGTGATGATGATTCAAGTGATCAAGAAAGTGATGAAGGTGAAGAGACCGATAGTGATGATTCTAGTGAGAGTGGAAGGGAAGGAGATAAATATGTATTCTTCATGAGCAAAGACAACAAAAGTATTAAAAAGAGCATCATAAAGCATGCAAAGGAGACTGCCAGATTAGTGGCAGAAACGAAAAATATGAAGAAGACTCAAAAAAAGCAAGAGGATCTTTTGAAAGATGTCATTTTGATGCTCAACAAAATGTCACATGGTATTGAGAAGAGTGAGCCTACAAAAGCAACTGCAGAGGGTGATACGGATGAAGAAGAAAGTGGAGAAGAAAAAGAAGAAAATGAAAAAGAAAAAGAAGATGATGTGATAGCCATGACTGGGCCAGATTCTGAGAATGATGTTGCTGATATGGATGTGGAAGAGGACACTAGGTTGATGAATGCAGAGGCTGAGGATGGTGTTGTACACAATGATGATGTTGTAGAGAATGAGCATGATGGTAAAGAGAAAGAGGCAGCAAATGTTGAGGGTGACCATTCATGTGTGAATAAGGATGCTGATGCAGAGGCTGAGGATGATAAAGAAGATATTGAGGATGCAGAAAGAAATGAAAACGAAATGCAAGAGAAGAACACTGAGGAGATAGAAAAGAACACTGAAGAAGCAGTTTGTGACGTGCCTACATTCAAAATACTCACTCAATCTCAAGGTAGTCAGAAAAAAATTGAAGACAACGTCCAAATGCAAGAGGAGGGACTACTTGCACAGGAAGATAAAAAAGACACTGGTGAGTCTGGTTGGGGGATGGGCTCACAGAAAAATAGTCAGTTTGTCCAAGAGATGTGCAAGAGTGCAGATGAAGTGGCAAAAAAGGCTTTTGAAAGCTATTCTTCTAATCCACGCAGATCACTCATAATAACTAATCAGGTAAATGCAAAAACTCAGTAAAATGCCATTCATGTGACATTTTCAATTGTTAAACTGACATTCAACTGCCAATGTTTATGAACATTTTGTACTATGACATTGACTGTATCTTACTTCTTTTAAATAAACATATAAGAACATAGTAAATAGTATATATTATGCCAATGCCTTAGGAGGATCTTCCCAAACAAAAGCGTGTTGTTAGGTCACCAGTGAAGTACATGGGAACTAAGCATTCATCAAAGAGGAGGAAGAGAGAAAAGGGAAAGAAAAGAGAAGATGATGAATTTCTGCCACCTTTGAAGCAAATAATTGGACCTTTCTCTGAAGATCCAACAGAGAACCCACCGGTTGAAGAAATACAGAGGGTGAAAGAATACTTGGAAGTTGGATTGCTGAAGAACTTCACAAAAAACAAAACTGGCAGAAGGTACAAAAAGGACGAAGATAGAATGACCAACAAACCATTCTTGCCAGATACAATGAAAGTTGAATAAAAAACATGGTTATATGACCTGTTTATGAATCACCAATGGATCAGTGACAAGGTACGCATACAAATGATCATATAGTTGTCAGTTTAATGACAAAGTGTAAATTTAAATACATCTGAGTCAGTACAGAATGACATTATTAGTCAGTTTGCTTTACCTTTAAATGCTAAATGTGTATTTTACTTCTTACAACATGTTGAGGTAGTAATGTACTATTTGGGCATGAAAATGGTGCATTACAAACTGCCACAGAAGTATACCACAACTGGCCCTTTTTTCTTGCAAATACTCAAGCGTGAACTTGAAACAATATCAAAGAGGCACTACACATACCACAAGTCAGCAGAACAAGAAAACATTGTGCGTGAAATAATAGGTGCTAACAACTATAGCCTACACTGGAGCAAGGTAGACTATGTGTACTTTCCTCTGAATACTGGAAATCATTGGGTGTTGTTAGTACTAGATATAAAGCAAAGAAAAGTTAGGGTGTACAATTCAAATGCCAGAAGAGGTGATTCACTGAGGGATATCAGATCCTATTATGCAAGCATAACTGTGCTCCTGCCCAGAATTATGGATTATCACAGTCTACGAACCGATGGGTGAAGAGATTATGGGTGAACGGTATTTGGAAGTAGAGCCTGTAGAAGGATGTCCACAACAAGATGATGGGTAAGAGCATATAATTTTACTTAAACAGATTGCGTAATAGTGAACTTCTTTTTTATTTTTAAAAAATGTTTTTTCTTTATGTTATGCATCAGGGGAAACTGTGGAATATACATGTTGAAGATGGCAGAATTTATAATGGTAGAGATGGACATGGATGCCATATATCCTAAAGCAATACCCTTGTTTAGGGAAAAATGGCAACTGAGCTGGTTTTATACAGCAAGAGAAGGCAGGTTGAGAAAGAATGAAGTGCAACTTTTAATATGTAATAGTACTTTTGGAACATCCAGTACATTTGTTTTGAAACAATTATGCTTATCCTTTGTTATTGTTTTGAAACAATTATGCTTATCTTTTGTTATTGTTTTCGAACAGCATGTTGTTTGACTTTGTTATTGTTTTTCGAACAGAACCTATGAATGTATGTTTCAAATGGTAATAGTTCATAGGATACTTGTGTTTATCTATACTTGTGTTAATTTTTAGATGACATTTGTCGTATCATCAATTGACATGATATATAAACATATGTCATTTTTAATAATTAAAATGACATCACAGAATTGATGTGCAATTGTGAGTAAAGAACATTTGAATGATAGAATTTTGTTTATATGCAGCATTTAAATGACAATAAAGTGACATTTGACATGACATTTTTTGAACCTAAAATGCCAGAATGGCTAAATCAATACCTTAAATGTTTAAGGAAATTATAACTACTTCCAATGAGTTGGCAAAGGTAAATCACTGGGTATTCATTGGAATGGGATTCCTGCAAGTTTTTTCAATTATGTTTATCTACAGGATACTTGTAGTTTCATATGCAAGGATTGTTTGTGGGGTCAGATTTGATTACATGCAGCATGTAAATGACATAAAATGACAGTTACATGACATTTTTTTAGAAAACCAAATGACATCAACAATGAACAATGTCAATTACGCATATACAATAGGACATCATAGTATTGACATGCCATTGTGGGCAATGGAAATGGCTAAATTTATTACACTGACATCAAATGTCAAATACATCATTGAATTCTATCCATAACAAACTATCATCAATTGTGAACAGAAATTGCCATCAAATCTGACATATGTCACTTACGAGTAAACAAAATGCCAAAACACAAGGCCTGAAAACTAAATGGCAGAACATTTAAACAAATGATAACTACGTCCAAACCACATAATAGAATTCTTAAAAGTACTGTATAAAAACAAAAGACAAAATATAATGAATTAGCCATGGGTATCACTGGGTATTGATTGGAATGGGATTCCTACAAGTTTTCTTATTATGCCCAAGCACATGGCATCTAGAACATTTTTGTCTTTTTGAACCTCTATATTCTCCAATGGATGGAATCCTGGATTTCTTCGAGCGACCAGGAGGACGCTTCATATAAGTTGGTGGCTTGCATAGTTGGTTTTGAATAGTAGCAGGAACTGACCAACTGTCACGATCAACAATTGGATGCATAATACTAGACCATGTAGCAAGCCAAGCATCTCTAGTGTAAAAAGGAGAAATGTAAGTATAACATGACAAATTTGGGCGTATAGCAATTGCAACAACAACATGGACACAAACAAAGTGATCTAGTTGAAAGTGGTCACAAGTACAACTTCTAGAGTTGAGATTGACCACAAAGGACGTTCATCTGCTATCAACAACTTCAAATTCATATGCACATGATGGTTTCACCTAGGAAATGGCCAAAATATGAATATCAAATTAGAATAAAAACGAAGTACCTAAACAATATACTAACACAAGAACAAAACTGACAGATTTGTAGAATCAAAATGACATAGTGATAAACAAAGTGGCATTATATAACCAGATAAAAAACTGAGAACTGACTTAAGGTTAAAAATCAGCTTTGACATACCTTCATACGTGTAGCTTCAGCTTGCAAAGCTACAAGACGTTTCTCACATTTCCGTGTGAGTGTAGTACTTGTTTTCTCAGCTTTTTCTTTCCTCTCTGTGAACCATTGTTGCATCATTTCACGCAAAAAATCAACAAGTTTAGAGACTGAACACTCTCTTGCACATACATTGACTTTGTTCATAGTCTCAGCACAATTGGAGGTCATAATATTATATATCTTTGGTCCAGACATTACTTTTGACCATGTGTTAGCACCTATTTTGTCTAGCCAAGTTCTTATCCTCGAGTTTTCAGAATCCAACATGGATAAGTAGTCATCATATTCTTTAACAGTTGCTGCCATATAGGCAGCTTTGAACTTCCATCCCAAACTAGCTGCAGATCCTCTAAATTTGTGTGTCATGTTACGACGCAGATGAGCAACACAAAAACCATGGCTAGCATGTGGCAAGATTTCAGAAACAGCCTTTATAAGACCTTTATGCCTATCAGATACTACATAAAGGTCATGTCTGTACTGTATTGACTGACAGACTTTGGATAAAAACCATTTCCAAGAAGATTTTGTTTCAGATTCACAAATACCAAATGCAATAGGAACTATGTGATCATTGGCATCTTGACAACAAGCTGTAAGAAGAGTGCCTTTATAGTAAGCCTTGAGGAATGAACCATCCAGTATAAGAACAGGTCTACAGTAAGGCCAAGCTTCTATCCATGCGCTGAATGACATAAAAAGGTACAAAATGCATCATCCTTCCCTGTGACTAGATCAAACATAGAGCTAGGATTCACCTTCTCAAGCACATAAGCCATAGAAGGCAAAACCTGATAGGATTCAAGATCAAAACCAAATTGCAACTGCGTTGCTTTCTTCTGTGCTTTCCAAGATTTTTTGTATGACATGGAAATTCCATACTACATACTCATGTCTTCACGAATTTGTTTTGGTGGGTACGGTTTAATGGAAGCATCAAGGTATTTGTGTGCAATAAGTTTTGCTATCACAGTAGCAGTTGCATGTCTATGTTTGCCTTGTCTATAATCAATAGAGCATGTGTGTTCTAGACAGAATCTAAAATGACAAAACAATGGCATTTTTATACAAGTGAGTAATATACATTTGACATTCTTGGCCAAGAATGTCACCAATACATGGCATTGTGATAAACAAGAATTAACAATGAAGTCAAACAAAAAGAATGAAATTAGAAGTTACCATCTGATTTGAAAGATTTGTACGCCACGTAGTCTTACAGCTCGAACAGTCCAACGGCATTTAGGATCTAAGCAAATAACATGTAAAGATATTTTCCTAGAGGTCTTTGTTCTGTGTTGAAAGTGGTTTGTGATAGCATACATCTTCAGATGGTGGATAAGGTCTGTTTTACTTTTGTAAATAGCATATAGAACAAGACAAGTAGGATGAGACTGTGTGATGGCTTCAAAATTGTGGAGAAATGACAGTGACTGAGATGATTCTATTACTAAGCCATCTGACATGTCATCCATGCCTTCATCATTGTCTTCAGATGTTTCAATTTCTACAGCTCTAGACACAGTGTTACTACAAGAAGCAACATCTTGAGAGTGTCTACAAGAGATGTTAACATTTTCTGTGCAAACAGATGAGCTATGATCAAAAGAGAGTGCAGGTGAGGAGGCACGTTGTTGGGAAGAAACAACAACATTCTCATCAACAGAAAGTGAATGAGTTGAAGAGATGACAACATTTTTAGCTGAAGGAAAAGTAGAAGGTTCAACACCAACAAAAGATGGATATGAAGAAGAGATAGAATAAAACTCAACACAAAGTGGATACTTTAGAAAATCTGGTTGAAGAGACTTGATATAAAGATAAAATGTTAAGGTAGATAGATCATTTATAGTTACAGGAGGAGGGAATCCATCTCGCATATAAGAAAGCCTGAAATTATGATTAGGTTTGTACTGAGAAAGGATGGCAGTCAACATATCAACAAAACAAACATATTGAACACCATAGTTAACATGAAGCCCACATGTGTGCACATTGGTGAACACATAGTCAGAATCCCAAAAACCATCCACCTTGACCATAACAAGTAAAACATGATCCATTGTGCAAAAGGTTCCTAAAAAATTGAAGGAAAAACAAATATTTCAGTATAACAGAAGCATGAAAGAAGAAAGTTGGTTATACTAAAATGACAGTTTGCGTGAATATGTGACAGTCTATAAGGATGTATAAATAATATTTACCACACAAAATGGCAAATCACCAAACAATACAAAATGACATTTAGAAATACAAAAGAGCCAGTTTTGAAGAACCTAATCTAGTACTTACAGCAAGACACAATTTAAACACCAACATTAAACGCAGAAATAGCAACACACGAAGAAACTTTATGAAATAAAAGCATTGATAGAGTTCATAAAAAGCTAAATTTTTCTGTTTCAGGTCAAACAGAGATCGACGAAGAAAACCTCAAAGGATTTACTCAGGTTCAAAAACGAAGAAGCAAATACTCAAACTCAAAAATCTCACTTAATGAAGAAGCAGAAGATGTACAACTATTCTACGAGGTGGGATATTCATCTCACCCTATGATCACCAGGAGCCACTCAAGAAGACCCCAAAATGAAACAGACTACTATCTCTACCCAGTTGACGATAGGTTCAACTCACCACACAAATTACAAGCAGCTCTTCAACGCTTCAAATTGACTCACCCAGAGGAAACGACTTATAAGCCTTATCTCAAGAGAGCCATCAGGTTTCATAACAAATACAATAGATCCCTTTCAGCTTCAATTGGAATCCCCTCAAAAAAATTCAATTGCTGATGTACCTTTCTATTTCTTATCTTTTCTCTTTTGTTCCATCAATTGTAATCTCAATTCCTTGTACTCAAAACTTTATTTAAATAAATTAGGGAGGTGTTCCCCGGCACCCCCCACCTAGTGTGGTATTAACCGGGCAAAAAGAAAAGAGTTCATGAAAAGCAAACGAGCTAAGTTATTAACAATAATGAATTTGAAATCGATTATAAAAACTTTGATTTTTTTGCTAATATTGTAGAAGCAAAATACAGAGAAATCAAACAGATTGATGATTGCAGAACGACATGTGTACAACTGACGAATTGACATATTCTAGAAGCAAAATGCAAGCAATTGCAACATAAATTTAACCATGATTGGTGAAGAAGGACGATACAGGAAAGTTTCGGTGAACATACTCTGCAAACGAACGAACAATGGCGGAAGAAGATGAATGCAGAGGAGAAGGAAGAACAGCTCAAACAAATCCAACTGTAGCAATGATTGCCGAAGAAGAAGAATGTCGCGCAAAAGCAGAGTACGTCAACTGAATTCCCAACTGATTTAGGAAACTATTTTTCTGGAAAGAATCTCGATCAAAGAGGGAAACTAACGGAAACTCATAAATGCTTTCACACATCAATTACCGAAAATAGCCGGTAACACCTGCGGCTTAATGGTAAACATAGGCTGGGGTATTTTGGATATTGCCTAAAGTGTTAAACATACATATAGAACCGTATAACTCCTATTAGGGGAATAAAACATAGTAAGTCCTATTATGGCTTTTAAGTAAGTTTTAGTCCTATTAAGGACAATTTTTTCTTTTTACTTTATTATTCTCCGTGTCTGTCAACTTTTTCAAAGTTTTAAGGGACTGAGAGCATCTTCAATGCTAAAACGTTAATGATGCATACGTGACATAAGAGATAACCAATGAAAAAACAATAAATAGAATACCTCTCTCCTTATTTGAGGGATCTTATATCATTTTGGTAAGTTTTTCTTCACAATGTCAAGCACAATGTCTAGATGTAGACATTGTAGTTGACATTTCAAGGGGAAAACTTGCCAAAAACACGTAAGCCCGTGGAAAGGAGAGAGAAATGTCTTAAAATTTACTCCCTCCGTCCCTTAAAGGTTTGCCAAGTTTGACCGGCACATAGAATAATAAAGTAAAAACTGTGTGTTAGATATTTGTGCAGAGGAGAGAGAAATAAAAAAAGCCACAAATTGATTAACTAAAATGGAAAATGACAAAAGTTTTGGGACAAACAAAAAAGAAAGTTGTAAAAGTTAGGGAGAGAGTAGTAAATTATAAACCGACTGTGTGTGTCACTGTTGAAGAAGAATCTCTTCATCTTGTCTTTCGCTCGGACAGGAATCTAGAAAATGGCCGATGAACCTTCTCTTACTCGCTGGTCTTTTCAGGTATATTCAGTTTCATCTGGCAGATACTTACTTGCATGTATAGCACCTGTTTAACAAATGCATATGCCATAGGGACTTCTAAGAGGTGTTGCTGGGAACAATCTTAACATTTCATTATTAACGTTTGAGCTTGATCTAGAACCTTATCTGAATCTCGTGGATATGCATTGAGGTTACTGTGATTCGAGTCTGACTAGCAACTTAAGATTACTGTGAGGTATGGCTACCCTGGGCCCAAAAGGAAATTGAATGGGAAATGACTCTTTGTAAAACCTTTCCCATGCTGGTATTTCTCATCTGACTTCTAAGCTAATCTCGAAGATGAAATGCAGTGGATGGTGAAAATTGGTTGACATGGTCTCTTTCAGCATTCTACAGTCACATCTAGTCTATTAAAGAGAGCACATAGTGGGATTGAGGTCTAGAATTTAGAAAAACAGTTAATATCTTCCATGATTGTATATCTTGTGGAATGTGAGTTAGTTACTTTAGCTGGGCTTTGGGATCCAAAACCAAATGAAGCATGTTACCGCTTATCTTTTTACTGGGATTAAAGGATTTGAAGTGCGCAGAGATTTTGGATTAGTTCAATTTAACCCTTTCCCTTCCATAGTATATTCAGGAAGTAAATAAAGTTCTCTATTGCAAATGAAATGAAGGAGTTGTGTATTTTCGCTTTACTTTTGAGCTTTATTTATTATGTTTGTTATTTGGGGGCGGGGATTTCGGACTAACATGATGCATTTTAACTTACATAACAACTTTATTATCTATTCTCTTCTACATGTAGGATTTTAAGTTATTTTATGATATCAAGCTGGGGAGGAAGAAGGCTTCCACAATAAAAAGTGAGGGTAGCAATGACGAAACACTCTCTAATCGAACTTCAAATGGAAATGACCACGTAAAGAGTACCAATGACTTATCGATATATGAACAATACAGTCAGGTATACTGTTGACATTTTATTTATGCTGGTTATAAATACCACTCCCTACGGTCCTATTTATGAAGCATTAAATGATGGTCCTAAGAATAAGTCACTTTTGTATATGCAAATTTAATGTTTTACTTCATCATCCCTCTTGACAGCAGTAAAACAATATTTCCCATAAAAATGTTCAAGGACATACTAGGAAGTTAAAATTGTTTAAAGTGCTTTTAACCATTTCCTTGATCTGTGTGAAAGCCAAAATTGTGCTTTATGATAAAGACCAGAAGGACTACATTGGTGCTTCTGATGGACTATCTAACATGGTTTGGGGATTTTCTTTCCTTCTAGGACAGAGGGAGTTCAACACAAACTTATGGGGTTTCATCTGCCAGAATTGATGAAAAGCCGTATGATTAAGCATTTCTTATACTGTTCTAAACTTATCTATTTTGTCGAGTATCTTTCTTTTCTTGATGCAAATAAAATATTTTATAGTGCTTCAGAGGAATCTTATTGTTTTCCATGGAAGGCCACCAACTTCCAGGGCAATGAGTTTTATTAAGGAACGGGGAAAATGCATGACTAAATGGTTTTGGTCTCAATAGTTCATGAAGCCTAAGTGTAGAAGGAACCAGAATAATTACTTTTCATTAATGCAAGAATATGGCATCTTGTTGATGATTATGCCTTATCTTTTTATCTTTCTTATCTTTTTAATCTTAATCTTTATCTTGTATTTATCTTTCCCTTTATTTTATCTTTTTATCTTTTTTATCAGACCTTATCTTTCTTATTTTTCTTTTCCTTTTGGCTCCGATATCATGTATCGGTTCATGTTAGTCGCCCCCAAAATCTTTTGGGACTAAGGCTTGGATCAGTGGATGTTGTTGTTTTTGTGTTTCTGATCATGCGACTCAGAAGTTACCTGGTTCTTTGTGTAAGTTTAATCTTTTGAGATGTTCTGAATTTTCATTATTGCTTTTCAGACTGAGATCTCTGCTTCCTCCTTTTGAGTCTGTAGAAATGCGTGCTTTAGCAGAAAGTCTGAGTAGGTTAGTATGAAGCAAGAGGCTTAGCTTTTGATCAATCACTGAACCCTGTAATCATTCTGTTAAGAGTGCAGTGTCCTATTTCGTGAAAAACTGTTGTTTTATATTTCAATTTTCCCTTTTGTTTTATCTCACAGGGATATTGTTCGTGGTAGCCCAGATGTGAAGTGGGACAGCATAAAAGGATTAGAGAATGCTAAACGTCTACTTAAGGAAGCTGTTGTCATGCCAATAAAATATCCTAAGTTACTTTTGTTGGCAAACTCTCCACTTCCTCCTGCTTTCTTTTGAGAAGTCTAAATTTTGAAAAAGATTTTACAATCTGATTATGTGAAGAATAAACAATCATAGAATATTTGAAATTTTGAAGTCCTTAGATAACCTGGGCATCTTTGCTTTCCCCTTATATTAGGTACTTTACTGGTCTTCTCTCACCATGGAAAGGTATTCTTCTTTTTGGCCCTCCTGGAACAGGAAAGGTTTGTGATCACTTCATGTTTTCGTGAAATATGTGTAGACATTAAGTTGCTGTTCACTAGTTACTTCATTAGGGTTTAATGATCCTGTTTATTCTCATGTCAGCCAAATATAAAAATATAAACCGCTACAAGCCCTTAGATAGAGCAAAGTAGAGGGGCGGATATTCGTGTGGCGGAGTGATCTTTTATCATCTTTTTCCCCTCATCTTCTTTTTCTTTCTTGTTTTTAAATCCTTTTATCTTTTCATATATATATATATATATATATATATATATATATATTCTTTTATCCTTTTTATTCTATCATTTTTATGTATATCCTATCGCTTTTTATATTATCTTTTTATCGTAACTTATCTTTTTATCTTTTTTATTTACTTGGACTGTTTTTTATCCCAGACCAGACCAGTCAACCAGACTAGACTAGACCAGACTTGAACAATTATAAAATACACGAAGACCAGATATTTACCAGACATTTACTGGACCAATTCAGACCAGATCAGATCAAACCAGACCAGACCAAAAAATTTCAATCCAAGTAAAAACATCCTTCGGCTTGGATGTTGTTGTTGTACGAGCCCTTAGATTACTCCTTTATCATGTTCATCTTTTAGTATGGAACCCCATATTTTAATGTTGATAGCTCAAACAAGCAATTCATTCCTAGGAATTCTCTAAAAGAGCACATGGATTTCAACACCAGCGGACAACAATCCTAGTAGGCATTTTAAACCATCCCACATTGATCAAATATAAAAGAGCAAACCCACATATACATATACTTTCTCCGTCCCATTGGACTTTGCCAACTTTCCCTTTTTGGTCGTACCAAAAACTTTGCCACTTTCCCATTAAAATAACTAATTTGAGGTTCTGCTCATTTCTGTCCTCTGCACAAATCTCAACCACACAATTTTTACTATTTTTATTTCTCACCTAATTCAAAGAGTGCAAAGTTCATTGAGACGGAGGTAGTATAAGACATTATTTTTATACTTCCGCTCATTATCATTCATTATCATTACCCTAGTGCCGCAAAGAGAAACTGTTTTCGGATGACCCATAGTATTTTTATACTTCCGCTGCAACCAAAAAAATATAAGACATTTTTTTTATCACCCATACTTTGCTGGGGAAATAGTGATCTATATGTTTCTGTCTGATGTGCTATCGATGGGAATAACAAATATCATATCAAGTAAAATTATTTATGCGTGCTCATCTTTGATGCATATGTCAATATTTTTCTGCATCATAGGTCAGTAAACTGTGGATACATGTGTAAGAAAATAATGCTAGTAAAGCAGCCATTTGTGAAATTCTGAGCACATCTTGTTTTTCCTCTAGGAAAAGTTAAAACGGTCATTTTCCATTTCCATCTAATGTAACTTTTTATACCGTTTGTCAACCATGGATCACCTCGTTAGTTGCTGTGGACTATGGAGTATTATTTCACTCTTTCAGGGATCTACATACATTTTCCTTTTCCATTCATTTTCTACACTTGGTCATTTTATAGTAAGCAATTGCTTTGTTGGTGTTGTAGACCATGCTTGCCAAGGCTGTTGCAACTGAATGCAATACAACATTTTTCAACATCTCTGCATCATCTGTAGTTAGCAAATGGCGTGGTATGTTGCAGCCTTTGTGACTTGTAGATTTTTATACTCATTATTTAGAAAATGCGTAATAATTCAATAACAATGAAGCCATCTGTTATTGAATGGTTGGACTGTTTTTATGTTGCTAGACTTTGAATACTTGAGGATTCTTATATATCTTAAGGGCATGTTAGAATCCCGGAAATGTCAAAGAAAGGTTAAAAATGCAAATGAAAGTTATTTCTTACGCTTGGTCGTCATCATCATTCATCATCATTACCCCAGTGCCGCAAAGGCTCTTACCTACGGTGGGGTGAGGGTGGTCGGATGTACGCAGTCTTACCCCTGTACCAAAGCACAAAGAGACTGTTTCCAGATGACCCATAGTGAAAATTGCATGGACTGACTGTTGCTTCATAACAAAGAAGCACAAACAGTTTAGTGAGTCATTTTGTTTTATTCCATCATATTCTAAAGCCAAAAAATGGTGTGCCTTTGGCTCCATCGCAAATGATGGAAACTTATTTCTTATGCTTGGTGTTATCTTGCAATTACAACAGAAGGTGAAATATGATATTTTATTGGAAAATTTGAAAAGAATATCTTTCGCCGATCTGCTCATAATAATATCACCTTTACGTATTCTCACCTTTGCACCCTATCTTCTTTCGTTGGATCCTGACCGGTTGGTGACCTAATATACCAGGTTTTTTGCATTTTTTGAAGAACTTACATAAATAATCTCACATTTCACAAATCTGCTCAAAACAGTCCCATGTTTCGTTTTTTCTTTTCTCTCCCTAATTTTTTTCTTTCATTATTTTATTTATAGACACTTTTGTATTCATTTTTCCATTTGGGAAGGAAATTTTACAAAAAACACACTCCTAATAGAGTGGGAATAAAATAATCTATTTGGTAAGGAAATTTTACAAAACGGTCTCATGTTTCGTTTTTTCTTTTTCTCCCTAAAACTTTTCTTTCTTTGTTTTTACCCCTAAACAGTTTTTTATTCCTTTTTCCATCGCTTTGTTCTTATTTCTTTTCCATATTTATTATTTTATATCTCACTCTATCAAGAGTGTTTTTTTGTAAAATTTTCTTCCCAAATAGATTTTTTTGTCATTTTCTTTTTCTTTCTTTATTTTTATTTCATTTCTCTTTTATGTGTTTTCTTCTTAATCATTCTCTTATTATTAAAGATATTTTTCTCACTATTTTTTGTTATATAATATATTCATTTTAACTTATCCCCTTTTTTCTTCTTGTTACTTTTTTTATGTATTTTCTTCTTTCTTCTTGTTATCTTCATTCCACCATCAATATATTTTTTCTCCTTTCTACATTATCGTATTTTTCTAAGTACGTCCACTTATTAATTTCATCAATGTTGAGAAAAATTTTATGTGCCAAAAAGATTAGGAAAAAAATTGAAATAAAAATAAAACATTCGGGAAAATGTTAGAAAGAAAAATTACATTTTACCAATTTTTTTATTTTTTTTATATTTCCCGATTGTTTTATTTTTCTATAATCTTTTTATCACATAGAGTTTTTCCCACAATTGATGGAATTAATGGGTTGATTTACTTCAAAAAATACGATAATGAAGAAAAGAGAAAAAATATATTGATGGTGGAATTAAGATAATAAAAAGAAAGAAAAGAAGATACAAGAAAAAACATTTTAAAAACTAACAAGAAATGAAATATAACAAAAAGTACAACAACAACAACATCCAAGCCTTAATACCAAAAGAATTTGGGGTCGGCTAACATGAATCGATCTATGATATCGATGCCAAACAGAGAGACAGACGTGGGGAGGAAAGTAAGATAAAACAGATAAAATAATGATAAATAAATATAAGATAACAATAACATAAGAATATAAGAAAGATAAAACATAGAAAGATAAAAGAGCATAAAAAAGCTAGAAGATAAAAATAACATAAGAATATAAAAAGATAAAGAAGATAAACGATAAAAGAAAAGAGAGGAAATGTAGAAAAGGCATCAATCGTCTACACAGATGTGTGCCCTCCACTTTGCTCTCTCCAAAGCCATACTCTTCTCATCCAACCCAAGAAGACGCATATGAGTTATGATTCCTCTAATCCAAGTCTGTATGGGTCTTCCCTTCTCTCTCTTCTTTGCATCACTCGGCCTTCTACGCACATGCCCAAACCACCGCAAACGAGACTCTGCATCTTATCTTCTATGGAAGAGAAACATAAAAAGGGAAATGAAATAAAAATACGAGAAGAAAAAGAAAAAGAAAAAAATTGCATTCGGGAAGGAAATTTTACAAAAAACTCTCCTAATATAGTGAGAAATAGTAAATAAATATGGAAAAGAAATGAGATAAAAGGATGGAAAAATGAATAAAAAAAGTCTCCATGGATAAAATAAGGAAAGAAAAATTTTAGGGAGAAAAAGGAAAAAATGAAACATGGGATTGTTTTGACCAGATATGTGAAAGGTGAGAATATTTATGTAAGTTTTCCAAAAAATGTAAAAAAACTGGTATAGTAGGTCACCAACCGGTCAGGGTCCAACGTAAGAAGATTGGGTGCAAAGGTGAGATTATTATAGGATTACCTAAAGGTGGGATTATTATGAGCAGATCAGTTAAAGGTGGAATTATTCGTGTCAATTTTTCCTATTTTATTTAGTACAAATATTTAGACTTCTATCATCCCCCATTTTTCTCTCTTCCCATTATCGTATCTATTTTCTCTGCTTCTTTCCTTTTTATTTTACTTGTTCCAAATGAACCCTTTGGTTTGTGTTACGCTAAAAAACTTGCAGGTGATTCGGAGAAACTGATAAAAGTGTTATTTGAGCTTGCCAGGCACCATGCCCCTTCAACAATATTCCTTGATGAAATTGATGCTATCATTAGTCAACGCGGTGAAGCACGAAGTGAGCATGAAGCAAGCAGACGCTTGAAGACTGAGCTGCTGATACAGGTTATGTTTCATTTATTTGAAAGTGCTTCCCATCATATGCCCCAGATGGAGCTACTCCTAAACTGGGTGATAAAGTTTAGTAAATCTTGTAAGATTCGTTAATGTTAACCTCTTACCAATAGGTAGGATTACTATAGGTGGTCATTTAAGGGAGATACTCCATCTGCTCTAAAAAAGAAGTTGGGTTTAATCATATTGCATTATACGACTTCTCAAAAGTCATGATGAGATTAGATTGCAGATGGATGGCTTGACGCGAAGTGATGAACTGGTTTTTGTTTTGGCGGCCACTAACCTTCCCTGGGAGCTAGATGCCGCTATGCTTCGGCGTCTTGAGAAGCGGGTATTTTTCTAAACAAATTATCTGTAATAGAGGGTGGCGCGTGTAAGGTTTTTGGGATGCTTGTGCACCAGACATCCCAAAACTTTTTACATGTGATTTTATGTCACTCACCCCACACAATTTCTATATTGCTATGGATTCGTTTTGAAATTTGAACACCTAAATGCGATAGAAAGAAAGTAGAGACGAAAATATAGAGGAAATATGGGGCAAAATAAACATATGCTCAAATTCAACTTTTTTATATTTGTGCATAGCTATCCTATTTATTTATGTTATAAAAGGGTCAGGAAATTGAAAAAATGTAAAAGAAATCACTACCACTCGTCATATTTCATTTTCTTTTATTTATTGTAGAGAGGAAATCATAAAAAATTAACTTTCCTTGGCATTTCCTTTACTATTTATAATGTTTTCCGTGATACAAACATACCCCAAAAGAAAACAAATCTGAAGTAGAGGGAAAGAGAATTGAGGGGTTATATTCTTATCTTTTTGAATTATTTTGTTTTTTTGTCAAAGTGTATAATTGCCTTGAATAGTTGAATGTAGCATTAAAGTTTACCATCTTCTCTGATGCTCTAGATTCTTGTTCCCCTTCCGGAGCCCGAGGCAAGGAAAGCTATGTGTGAGGAATTACTGCCATCAGAATCTGATGGAGAGATTCTTCCATATGATTTATTAGTGGAAATGACAGAAGGCTATTCAGGCTCTGATATTCGTTTATTGTGCAAGGAAGCAGCTATGCAGCCATTAAGAAGGTTAATGCTATTACTTGAGGAGAAACAAGATGTGTTGCTGGACGATGGTATGCCTCACATTTCAGCGTGTGTTCATATTAACTGTGCCTTTCTTTGTATTGCCAAATCCATTTGTATGTGGAGCATCTCCAACACAACAAATGTACATTATGCTACACAACCTGGAGAAACGTTACCAAAAACTTCGGTTTTTATTCCGGTTTTTATTTTTAATGTTTGTGTTTTAACATCCCATTGTAAAATTTTGGTTAAACTGAACCATTGACATGATCTAGCACTTGAATTAATAATTGATACTAATGATAGAAATAATCTGAACCCGTTGAATTGTTTTTTACCAAAAATTGAAATTGGTCTCACCAAATCTCGCAAGGCACACCTAATGCTCTCTTATAATTTATTGGTCTCCAATAGGCACAGTTAAAGCTCAGTGTGAATAAATCTTCAAACATAAGAGGAAACTTTGTACTGTTCAAGCTTGTTAAAGCTTGTACTGTGCATGAGCTCAGCTTGTTAAAGCTGGTACTGTTCGGTTTTGTTAAGCGTAGCCGTTACATATTTGTTGCATTCAGTAATTACAAGGCACCGCTCATTTAATATTTATTACTCTGTATTATTAGTTAGTGGATTTCCTTTGTAACTATTATCCCATTGTTTACGTATTCGGTTAGCATTAGTCAGCTTACCAGATACATTCTTTGTAAACATAAAAGTCTCCTTTTATGATCAGCTTAGCTTTTACGGCTAATACTTGTAAGTCTGCTTTAACTTCCCTATTTAACTGACTTTGTTAATCGAAGATACTTGAGGTGAATTTGTATATATTCTAACTGGTTTGTCAGCACCTCCACTTGGGCTCACTTTTATGTTTTGTTCTGTGTCCTTTAATTTTGCTATAAGACTTTACTTTTATAACCTGTCATGTGCAGAATTGCCAAAGGTTGGACCAATTACTGAAAGAGATATTAAGGTAGCGTTGAGGAACACTCGACCTTCCGCGCATCTCCATGCCCATCGTTATGACAAGTTCAATGATGATTATGGTAGCCAAGTTGTCCAGTGAAGGCATTCGTACAGCTCTCTCGGCTCTCTTGTCGGAACATTATACTGTATTTTATTCTATTCATATTTGTAGTATAATTGTAGTATAATTACTAAATACTTGACTGTATTCTATTATATACATATTTGTAGTACATGATTACTTCATTTGTTAGACTTGTAGCGAAGTTCTTTGACGAAATTTGGAGCATGTGGCTCACTCGCTTATCGTCTAGAGAATTATTACTCCCCATCCTGAAATTATCGTCCTTGTTAACCTAGCATGTTGTTACTAAGAAGTGAATGGTAATTAAAAATACAAAAATGATACTTGTATTGTTGTTACATGCCGGGTTAGACGCCCGGTTAGACGTCCAAGTGTAAATGTGTAATTGTTTGTGAACATACAATTGGTTTTAAATTTTGTAAAGGGAAGTGTCCGTGACCCGGAATTGTCTGTGCACAAACAATTCAATTTTTGAGGTCACAACCGGACGTGTAACCTGCTGTGTACAAGTAGCATTTTTGTTAAAAATATAATCAAATAACATGTGTTGCACTTCATTTCCTAAAAATTCTGAAAGATTATGATGGGATTATATTAGAAAGGCAAGAAATGATTGCTTCAGAGTAGGGCTCGTGCTACAGTTCCCGGACCTGTCAGTTCATGAATAGGGGTGGATTCGGGCCGGGTCGGGCCCGGGCCGGGCCTAGGCCCGGTCGGGCCGCTGGTTCTAGTATAGTGGGCCCGGGACCGGCCCGAGGGTTGGACGGGTCCGGTTCGGACCGGGCCACCCGCCCGGGTCACGGGTCGGGCCACCCGCCGGGCCGGGTAATTTTTTTTTTTAAATTTATATTTTATACTTTATAGTTTTATACAAGTATTAAAAAACAAACTTCAAGTGCATTAATTTGAAATGAAATAGGAACTACATTTGAAAATTAAATAGGAACTATAATTGTTTTTAATCGGAATCTCCGGCATAAGTAGAGCCACCCTCTGTAGATTCATCCATAAAGTGTTGGGATGGAGTGATGTCAATTTCTTGAGCTCTACGTGCTGCTTTCAACCAATCGTGGTAGCATATAAGCATCTCAAGAGATTCAGCGCTCAACCTCGTTCTGGTTTGTGTTAGAACATTGCCGGCCGAACTAAATTCTTGTTCCACGGCAACCGTTGAAACCGGCATTGATAGCACTTGCTTAGCCATCTTTGCTAAAACCGGGAACATTCTTTCTTTTCCCTTCCACCAGTTTAGTACGTCAAAATCATCATCTTCTTCAAAATCAACATCATAAGTTAAATACAAAGAAATCTCATTAATTGTGCTTTGTTGTGTAGCGGGAGTTGATTTTTGTTTTTTTAATAAGATTGACAAACGTAGATTTGAAAATTGATTTTCCTTTAGATGATGTTTGTGTCGGGGGAGGGGGCGCATTGCCATATTGTGCATGAAACTCATTGAATAATGCATAAAATATATCACTAACCTCGTTGTATTCTTTTTTCGGATCAATTGGGTTGTCCTCATACATTGGCAATGGACCAAAAAAAGCAGCATAATAATAATTCAAACATTCTTCTAAAGAACCAAGTCTAAAACGAGGATCGAGAACAAATGCAATACCATAAATATGCGGAATATGTGAATAATATTTTAAAAATTTTTCCTTCATAAAACCAGCAAAATAATTCACATAATCAGCATTCTCAAAATTTGAAAAAGCACCGGCGAGATTAACAGCTTCACGAATAAATTGGTTTGAGGTAGGTTTATAAAGATGACTAAAAGTTTCAGTTGCATTATTAAAATATATCAAAGCATTACAAATTTTTTCACATGTGTCGATCTCAGCCGAGTTTATAATATAGTTATCATATTGTTTCATAAAAGCAGGAAAATATTGTTTATATCTAAGAAGAACTCCAATTAACTTATAGGTACTATTCCAACAAATAGACAAATCTTTTGGAAAAGCCACATATCTCTCACCTCTTTCTATCAAATAATCATGCCATTTTTTCCTAAGCTGTCCATTACCCCAAATACGTCTAATCCCCCCCTTGACTACCTCCAACGATGCTCCCAACGCTTTTAGACCATCTTGCACACATAAATTTAGAACATGACATGCACATCGTTGATGAAAAAATCTACCCATCAAAGAAGTAGAACCACACAATTCACGCAATCTAGGAATAACAGCAGTATTATTAGTAGCATTATCAAAACCAATAGCAAACACCTTATCAATTAAATTATACTCAATTAAAATATGTTCAATCAAAATATAAATATGTTCAGCGGTGTGACGATCATTAAATTCACGGAAAGCAAGAACACGTTTATGCATATGTCAATCATTATCAATATAATGTACAGTCAGACCCAAATAATGTAAATTATGATAAGTATCCTCCCATATGTCAGAACATACAGTAACACGTCCATCAAAGTTTGCAAAATAATTTTGTAACCTTACCTTTTCCGCACAATAAAGCCTTGAAATTTCTTTCTTAACCGTTTTGCGACTATAACCTCTATATTGCGGATTTAAACAAGTTTGTGCATAATCACGAAAAGCAAGACTTTCAGAAAACAAATAAGGCAAATTTTCTTCAACAAGTAAGTTAGCCATACCTGTCAAATTTTGTGCATCATTTATGAGAAATTACCAAAAGCTTGTTGGTTATTTGCAAACCTCGATATTTGCATTTGCTTCCCCGTTCCGCCGCCTAATTTTGCATACTCCACCGGGTGTTTGGACTTAAGGTGTCTTGTGGCGGATCCGTATCCGCCGGAAATCCCCAAGCTATAGTTTTTCTTGCACCAATTGCAAGTTGCGGTCCAATTCCCGGTGTTCGGGTCCTTCCACTTACAAAAATTATTAGCCATTAATTCAGATTTACTTTTTTTTGTACCTGTTTGGGATGAGGCTGCTTGGTCGGCGTCATGGCTGCCGCCACCCTCCTCCTCCTCGTCGTCGTGGCTCTCCGGAATTGCTTCCTCCACATCGTCGTCCTCGTCCTCTAGCTCTTCTTCGTCAATGGTCCTCGGTTGGTCTTGAAAAAAGCGGGAATTATGTCGGTGCAATTCTTGCTCTAGTTGTTCGTCGGTCATCGCATCCCCATCCCTCCTTACGTAACCCGTATCAAAATCATCTTGACTTTGAGATGAAGAGCCGAGATGTGATTTACCTTTGCGGGATCTCTTCCTCGCAAGCTCGTTCGTTCGGTTGCGCTCGAGGTTACCCATATCAACCGAATATCTAGGACGATCCATCTAAAAAATGTAGCAATTAATAAAAAAATTGTAAAAAACTAATTAAGTATTTATCTAACTATTAATTCGAGTTATAGCAAATTAAGTAGTGAATTAACTAGTTTTGTGTACAACATATTTTTTAAACTAGAGTCAAATGTAGCAATTAATAAAAAATTGTAAAAAACTAATTAACTATTTATGTAACTATTAATTCGAGTTATAGCAAATTAAGTAGTGAATTAACTAGTTTTGTGTACAACATATTTTTTAAACTAGAGTCAAATGTAGCAATTAATAAAAAATTGTAAAAAACTAATTAACTATTTATGTAACTATTAATTCGAGTTATAGCAAATGTAGCAATTAATAAAAAAATTGTAAAAAACTAATTAAGTATTTATCTATATTAATAAAAAATCGTAATTCCAACTATATTAATAAAAAATCGTAATTCCAACTATACTAATTAACTAGTAATTAAACAAGTGTAAATAATAGAATAATTTCGTACCTCTTTCGGACTTTCGGTCTTTCGGATGGGAGTAATAGAATGACTTCAAATTAATTAGATATAATTCCAAGTTCCAACTATATTAATAGATATAATAAATATATAAGTAATATATAATTAGATAACAAATATAAGTAATATAATACTATTTATATCTATTTATAATTTATATAAGTAGATAATTAATATAAACTATAAATAATAAATATAATATATTGGAGAATGGAGAATAAGAGAATTAGAGAGTAGAGAGTTAAGAATAGGATTTAGGAAGAATTGGAGAAGAGATATGAAAAAATGTTTAAGATTAGGAGTATTTATAGGTTTTTTTACCCCCCACCCCCCACCACCCAACCCCCCCGGACCCCCCCTATAACCCACCCAACGGCTATATAGCCGTTTGGGTTGTCCCCAGCCCCACCCCCAATGGCTAGTAGGAGCCCAACCCAAAAAAACTTTTTTTTTTAAAAATTGATCGAACCGGACCCGGGCCCAGGCCTGACCCGGCCGGGCCGGGTCACAAAAAATCTGAACCGAGCCCGCCCCGCCCCTTCCCCCCGGTTCGGGCCCAGACCCGGTCCCGGACCGCCCGACCGGGCCGGTCCCGGGCCCGCACAGTACCGGGCCGGGCCGGGTCACGGGCCGGGTGGCCCGAACCGAATCCATCCATATTCATGAATAGGTGTCTTTGTATACAGGGACCAGTATTGAGATTACTAGTACCTGGTTGGATTCTGATTTACCTGGTTGGTGTTTGCCATGCAATATCAAAGCGAAGCATTATACTATTCCACTGATAGGACCATTGCTTTTTTGAAGAAAAAGTTCTCCAATTCAGTTACGGATATAATGCCTAGCCCATCCTCATCTTTAGGCTTGCACATGTTGTTCATGCTGATCCAAACTATCCAATGATACTTGTCCAGAGTAATAGTCACCCTTCTTGGATGTGTTATCTGCTGCGGAGTATTTTTTCCACATTATAGGCTATAATGTGCAAAAAATACTCCGCAGCAGATAACACATGCTTAATTAAAACAAGCCTTCCTCTTCGGACGACGGGACAACACGGGTATGGAAAGATAAATGTTGTAGTATTATCGTGGCTATTCCGACAGTATGAGTTGGTCTCAGCTTTCGGATGGGAGATGGTGAGACAACACGAGTATGGAAAGATAAATGGCTACTTACACAACATGAAGGTCAACCGGATGCAAACGCTATCGGTGGGTTAAAGGATATTTGAGTTTGTCCGTTAATGATTGAGGATGAGAATGAGTATGGCTAACTCATTGCTGATTGCATGCAACATGAGGCAACTTGGGCTCATACTTATAAGCTTGCATTATCACCAAAGGTAAAAAAAATTGCATGACAAACATATGTGTTGGGCGTGTTTCGGAAAATAAAGGAAATTAATTAAAAATAAATTAATTAAATAAAATGACTAGAGAAAAACAAGAAAGGAGATGAAGCATAATTAGTCAAAGCTCGTGCTACGCATGATGTCCTTAAAAC